TTTAGTATTTTATAATACATGTATTGTAGATTTTCTCTAGTTGAATTGAGTACCAAATAATAGTGTGATTGTAGTTGTCCAATCTTGTAACTGTAGATTAGATTTATCTTTATTTTCTTTAATTTTCTCTTTCTAAATCCTAATCTGCTATGCTACATCATCTATCATTTATATTATTAGCACAACCCTTCACTTGCAAGCCTACTTTGTTGAAACTGCAGATCAAGCAGAAGATTTCACTATCTTGTGTTTAAATTTAATTAACAGAATAGGGGGTATACAGGCCAAATTTAATCTCTACTCCTTGCTCAAATATCATGTTAAATAATTATTTGTAGTCTATCTCAAAACTTAAATTGATAGACAAGAAGTCCAATCTATTATTTATATATGGTAATGCATGCACCTAAACTGATTATATTATTCTCCAGTTCTTAGTAAATAAGAATTACCTCAAGCAAAAACAAAACAAAATAAAGGAGCAGGGAGTACAGAAAGTTGCACATTTCTGCATATCCAGACTAATAGGTAGCTGAATCGGTTAGTAAATTAATCAAATGTTTTACTGCCAATCCTATTTATTAATGTAATAAATAAAATTTTGAATATATAATTTGACTTCTTCAAGAAATCATAAACTAAAAATCAGTTTTTAAGAGCAAAACTCATTTCGATTATATTAAAATTCCTCCATTAAGGTAAATACAAGTTGAATATGAAATATCTTAAACATTGATGCCAAAAAGGGAAAATGAAGGACCTCTTCTTTCATGTCAAATTTGCGAGATGCAGCTTCTTTAACTAGTGAGCAAATTTTCCCATGGACATTCATGTCACTGGAGAAAACTTGAAAGAGAAACTTGTTTACTGTGTATTCATCTACCCCATCACTGAAACACAACACAGCATATTAATTTCACTTATTTAAAGTCATCTTCATATCATTTAAAATTCCATCTATTTACCTGTACATGAGGCTTCTCAGTTTGAAATACGTGATATCATCAAACAACAGATGGCAGTGGGACAACCTCCCATCCCGTCCTGAACGGCCAATCTCCTATAGAAGGTTATCAATTCATTTTATTCAGCAAATTGGGAGACGTGCTAATCTAGTTAAATAAATATTATAATTTAGAAGCAGATAAAACCTGAACATACTCTTCCAAGCTTTCTGGCAAGCTGTAATGAATTACCTAAAGCAAAGTTTCACTGTTAATATCTGGTTCAGTACCAAAATGCAAGACACTGACAGGCAAAAGCATGCTAGAATGAACAATCTTATTAAGAAAAAACGATGCAACCATGGACAAATGAACAGCGAATACAATGCTGGGAAACCATAGGGTTAGTATCTAGTCTTACTGCTCCAACATCTGTCTTGTTAAGGCCCATGCCAAATGCCACAGTTGCAACAACCTTCCGACAAAACAAATGTTGATTAAATTTGGAAAAAAAAAAGAAAGTCAATTATTTCAAAAAGGAATATTTCTGAATTTGAACATATAGCCAGGATGAAGTGGAATAATTTCTCACCACTCTAATCTTGTTAGAACAAAACAAGTCCTGTATATGGTTCCGATCCTTAGTGGTAAGACCACTGTGGTAACTCTGCATAAGCA